CCAGAGGCCAGGCGGCGGCGGCGGCCGCAGGTACCGGCCGGGGTGTGGTGGCGGGGGGAGACGACGCTCGGTGTGTCGCAGTCTGCCCAAGGCTGCCCCCGAGGACGGGGGTTTGCGGCCGCTAAGCGTAAGAGCGTTGCTTAAGCCAGTCTTGTTTTAAATGTCGTTTTTAGATGATGTTCTGGCGAGCGGGGAGCAAGCGCTGCAGGAGGCCAAGGCCGGTGCCCTGCCCGGCCCTCGGAAGCCAGGAGACGGTGTGGCGGCTGTACCGCGGAAAGAGCTTAACCACGTTCCAAGTGGTGGAGTTTCAGACGAACCTCTGGAGGTGGAGCAGCTGCTCCTGAAGCAGGGAGCCACCGGCTCCCGGGAGCGTCCAGCCCATACCCACGGCGGCCTGGCAGGCGAAGGGAGACCCCAGATGGGACAGGCAAGTGATGGATGGGGCGCGATGAATGGGGCAGAAGCCTCAGATGATGTCTGTAAGGACAGAAGCGAGGAGCAGCCGGGTCAGCCGGCTGAGAGTAGGGACTTGGACCACAGAGAGTGGGAAGTTCTTTCTGAGCACCTGGCCTGGGGGGAGGCTGGCAAGAATGGCAGCGTGGAAGACTCCAGCAGCAAGGAATGGGAATACGGAGACTGCCCTGATGGGGACCTGAAAGCAAAGAGAGTTGCGGCCGTGCCCCCCATGTTTCAGAATATCCATGTGACTTTCCGTGTGCACTACATCACGCACTCTGATGCTCAGCTGATTGGTGTTACTGGTGACCATGAGTGTCTCGGCCAGTGGCACAGCTACGTTCCCCTCAAGTATGACAAGGATGGCTTCTGGTCTGAATCCATTAGTCTGCCAGTAGACACCAAAGTAGAGTGGAAATTTATCTTGGTGGAGAATGGGAAGGTCAGACGTTGGGAAGAATGCAGTAACAGGACCCTAGTGAGTGAACATGAAGATCAAATTGTTCATCAGTGGTGGGGATATCATTAATGGGTTTTTGGAAGCTGCTTATCTAATGGCAAACCTGCTTAGATTAATCACAGAGCCCCTAAACTCTACCCCGACTTCAGTAGGAGACCTCAAGTGCAGAGGTCTGTAAATCCTGTTATCAAACCTGGTTAAACTGCCCGAGCAGCAGATCTCAGCCATCCCCATCAGGAAATCATTTGTCAACCTGCAAAATCAACCTCAAATGCGTTCTGAAGATGTGTGGGGTAGGCTGTGGAGGCGTGAGCAGTGTTCTGAGCAGCTGCCTGTCCAGGTGAATCTGGACCCTGGGTTTGAGTTCGTGTCGCTTTGAGTGGGGCTGTGGGATGCATCTTTGTACCGACTGCTTAGGGCTTTTGAAGCGTACTAGGAAGTGTGGTTACCGACACTGTAATAGGGACTTCAGTGTTTTAACTTCTGTCGTGTATTGAATAAAGAATAAACACTTCCAGACTATATAGTCTGTTACAACTTGATCAGTGAACTGATTCATTTTAATAACTTTGGTAGAAGTGACCTGAAATCTTAGTGCTAAAGAATTCCTGACAAGTGGCTGACACTCTGGAGTAACAAAGTACCCCAAGGTACTTCATTCTCTACTCCCTGCTCTTCAGGAAGCACCTCAGCTCAAGTGGAAGCTTGGCAGATAAGTTCCTTATAGTCAGATCATCCTGCTGAGAGGAGAGCAAAGGTCAGAAAGGACTGACTGGGCTTAATGAATTACTTTGTCAGGGCGGGAGCAGGCTTTTAAAAAAACCTGGACTGCTGTGATGGCTAGGGAATAGGATTCTTCCTGAAATTGTTAGGTGGCATATACTGCCTACCTAGGAACAATACCACAGTATTGCTAGCAACTACTTAGCTTAAACTTGTATGCTTTTTTCAATACTAGGCTTTTCAACACAAATTTATTTGAAGTTGTGGCCTTATAGTAAACCAGGTAAAGCAGAATACTTCTAGCTTTAACCAGTTGATATTTTTTATATGACAGAAGCACCAAGCTGCTCTGCTTACCTGTGTTTTGTATTTTTGTTTACAAATACATGATGCCACTTGAGCAAGCTCTTTGTTCCATGAGGAACCTAGCTCTAGCTTTCAAATATCACTTCCCTGTGGTCTGAAGAGCATAGTTCTGTAGGAGTTCTGGAAGGTCATAAATTAGCACTTTAGTTTAGAACATTTACTTGAATATCACATTGTTGATCTAATTGCCTCTAATTCTTTCCTGCATTGCATGGTGGAACAGTCTGAATATCTGAAATAGAATGGATTTGGGTGATAGACTGGCAGATGAGCTTCAGACACTTACCTCCTGCATCTAATGCTTAATGGACATCCAGTTGGGGGGACAATATGAGAGCTGCTGTGAAGAACAAGTGTCTGAAATGTTACTGGGACTTCAGTACCAGCTGTTCCATGGAAGAAATCCATTGAGAGTAGGCTGGTCTGCCTGCTCATGCAGGCATAGCCACAAAACAGCTACAGAAAATCTTTGAGGGGGAAGAGTGAAGAGGGAGAGAGACTAATGCAAATGAACAACTTCATTGGCAAGTTGGAGTTTTCTTGTTCTCAGTAAAACAAGCCCCTCCCAGCTGTTGCTACATGGTAGATCAACTTGTTCTGTCGGTCAGTTACTTCTGCAGATACTAGCTTTGCTCTCTGGTTGTCTCAAGCAACTTGCAGATCCAGGTGAATAAATTTTATTTCCTTCAAGAGACCTTTTATAGAAGAGAACAAGGTAGGAAATGTGGGTGGGAGCTGAACTCAAGACTGACTGTAAGCTTGTTGGTAACTGCTTGTTCAAGATGAAAAGTACCTCTGTAACTACTGCATGAGAAGTACTGCAGGTCTGGAAGGAATGTAGTATCATTTCTGGCAACTGATTCAAAAGGGAGAGGATGGAGCTGACAATTCAGCCGGTGGTTGAAGCTGCTTCAGTGGTCTTAAACACATGCACATATGCACACACTAGTCCTCAACTTTCTCAACAGGAAACTAATATGGGACTTAAGGTACTTACTACATGAACTTAAAAGGAAAATAGGGCATAGTTAGCATGCCCTGGGTTGAAAAATAAGTATTAACATGAGGCTCATTTCATTTTAGGGGCTACAGCTTTACTGTAACAAATATTTCTACTGTTTAGTTATGCTTACTGTATATAAAGAGAAAGCTCTTAAATTCTGTCCATGTGCACCACCACTGAGTACACAAACATTTGTGTGGGCTTCATCAGTAACTTAGAGCATTAACTGAATAGGTAAAACTGTGCCGGAACTAATGGCTTGGTACCTTGATTACATTTTTTGCACTAAGCTCTTCTAACTATAAATTTAAGGGAACAATATCCCTAATATACAGAGGGACAGTTGAAAAAGAAGTTGATCTTGAAAAAAACATGAAGTCAAAGCAAAACATGTTATTTCAAGCTGTTTACAGTTCTTTTTCCCATTAATGCAAGCTCCTCGAATAGTGAGATATTATCAACTTAAAAAGCAGTTCAACAGCCACTGCTATTTGAGTGTATTTATACAGACACTGGAGGCTTGTCTGAGAAGATTAACTGTGGTATCAGATTAAGCAAGCCACTTAACCTACACTAGAATAGATTCTCTAATGCAGTGATGAACATGTTTCAGACTAACCCTGAGAAGTCTCTCAGATTGAGAACAATTTTCTTTTTAATTAAACACCCTGCACTTTGATCCCACAGACAATGCATATATAGTTGTCATGATTGCATCATCTTGCTGACTGATCAGGCAAGGTTTCTACAACGACGTGCACTGCACTTTTGTTGTAACCTCTAAATTATTCTGCCATTCACATTGCTGCCTGCACAGGAGGGCCTGTGCTCTGTAAATTAAATGTTATTTGAATGGTGAAAGAACTCTGGATTTTTGTATTACTGGAGGATCCGATTACTATTTTCCCCAAGTTTACAGAGGTGATTTCTCATTATTGAACAATCTATTCACTCAAGCATGAAGGTAGATTTAAACAAAGTTGCCTTGCTGTATAAAAACCATTATGCTAGAATGGGCTGATACCTGTCTAATACAATGTCCTGTCTGTGAGACTAGTGAAGCTACATGTGAGAAACAAGTTCTTGTTGACATTCCTATGTGGTTCTAACAGCCTTTCAGCCAGTGGCTTGGGATATCTAAAAGCAAATAATAAACTGTCTCACACAGCTTGGCAAAGCCAGAATGACTTCAACCAAAGATCTACCATTTAAGTTCACCTGCTCATACTGCCGACAACAAACTTCTGACAAATTAGATAATTTGATTACTTTTAGATGAACTGCAATCTACTCCTACTTGTGAAGCAGTTTGGTGTACAAATGCTAAATGCTGCACTTGGATAGTGAGCTGAGCAGACAGCCTAAGGCTGGGATGGGTACTGGGCATAAGCCAGTTTAAAGTCACATGCAGAAGCTTGCATTGCAACTCATTTGCTTCCTATTCACTTTGCAGGTGCCTTTGCAAAAAACCATGCCCATCCCACATTCTCTCTGGGAGTTAAACTTACTGTTTGGAGTCTCTCCACATGATCCACTCAAAAATATTAGACTAGTATTAGGTTTTCTCTCTTAGGGACTTGGCTGCCATCTGCGGTGTCCTGCTGTGGTCAAGATTTGCCTAACAGTCCTCCGACATCCACCTGTATGTCATGGAATAACAAAGTGCTGTTTGTGCTGCCAAGTCCAGGGTATATATTGCTGCTTGAGAGCCCATGAGTCTACAACCCTTTCGCCTCCCCAGGCCAATTCTTTGCCTTCTGCTGGTGGCAGGGAAGAAGCCCAGAGCTGTTGCCAACTCTGCTGAATTCCAGCATGAGGATGTTTAGCTGCCTTTTGGCTTGGCAGATCTCCCTTCTGTCTGACTATTTGTACCTCTCCACCTGCTCCCTTCTGTTCTCACAGGGCTGCAGTCTTCTGAAACTCTTTTTAGCTTGGCTCCTTGAACACAACTAAGAGTGCACTTTTCATTAACCTTTTCCAACCTGCTGGGCTATGGGGTGAAGACATGCTCTCCCTCTCTACACCTCACCCTTTTCTTACAAAAAACTGTGGGAGGTCTGTCAAATATGTAAAATAAGTCCAAACTGTGATAAACAAGCCATCTAAAATGATCGTTTCACTTTTCAGTGCAACCAATTCCTAGCAAAGGGGAGATGCCTTTATTAACATTTTGACTAAGCTTGCAACACTGTTGGAAAAAATGACAGAATCAGTGGAAAAAAATTATTAGGAAATACAGAAAATCACCTGAATTAGATCAAAACACTGTTGATAATAACTGAGGACAACTTAGGAACAACTCACTGATCTCTTCTTCCCACACAAGACGACCTCAAACAAAAAAACCCTCAGAGATTGGATCTACTCTGAATATAGTTCTGTAGCTTTGAAGTCAACAAAACCAAGCTTGTATCTGCATGGCTTGTGCTCATGAAGCTGCTTTTGATGAGGTGCACCTACAAATCATTTGGTTTGGGCAAAAACACTGGGTAAGCCCCTTGAATTCAAGCATGGCATTCCACACTGCCACAAATCCAAGGCCATAATTGCTTTTCAGAAAGCAGATAATGGGGAAAAACACTAATGCTGGTGAAGCTGCTTCACTGGCACCTCCTGCTGACCCTGGGGATGCTCTACTTTTCTGTGCTTGGGTACCCATTTATTTCAGAGGGACATCTTGCCCCTTGTTTTGTTAGTACTGTTTATAGCAAGGACTCCCCTGCTACCAGGCCAGCAGCTTCTGTGACCAACTTCTCAGACAGCCTTGCTAGACTCTGAAGGTGCAGCACTATTAAGCTGCTCTTCACCAACAGTCCCCAGGCAAAAATCAAATGGCAAATTCTGGAAAGTACTCAATTTGGGATGAGTACAAAGTTCTTCTTCCCCTGTACTTTCTTCAACAGCTATCTTGTTCCCTGAGATATTGTCAAACACTAATAAGGCTTTAAACATCAATCTGATACTTTAATGATCCTGTTCATCTTATTACTTTGTAATTGTTTTTAGCATTGGATAGTCTTTTAAGTGCAGTAAATCATTTGCCCACTGGTTCAAAATCCTCAGATGTCTGAAGACATAGGAGGTTTTAAAATAAATTCATGTATGCCAGGTGTGCTCAAAATCCTTCCTGTTTATTACTAAATCTTACACTAGGAATGACCTTTGAAAATATTACTCTTAGGCAGTCATATTAAAGGAAGGTTGACTGTATTGGTAACTCAACCGAAGAGCATTTTGGAGACCAACTGAAAGTAACATGCCCAGCTATTTTAGCAAACTTGTTAATATGGGTGGTGGATCCTGGAATTTAAGTCATACTAGACTGTTGTAAGAAAAAATGTCAGTATAGATTCAAAATGCAATTTTTTCTGCCTAAACTTCACCTATTTTAGATTTTACAGAGGGACATGGCTTGAAGAAGGGCAAAAAAATACCAAACTAGGAACATACCCTCAGCTGTAAGTCAACATATGAGTCCTATGATTATAAAGCTAACCCTAAGACAGACTGGACTCTGTACTATGAGTCAAGCCAAATATCCCAACAAGTAGTGAAAATTACATTAAAAATACCACTTGATGAGTCCATTCTGCTTAAAGGAATCATGGTCTAGGATGAAATCTGTGCAGTCTTGAACAGTAGGTATGTGGTTCAACACATTATTTCCTGCTTTTATTGGAAATACTTGGCAGTTCTGGAACATCCAGATGAATTGGAATTCATTGAAGTAATAACATGAAGTATGGAGGGAGGGGAAACCAATTTATTTTAGAATGGAAAAAAAATACCCAACAAACCATCTCAAAACTAATTTTCTAAAAACCAGGACCTGAAATGGCGTGCAAGATCCAGAACACATGGAAGAGATACTGGCACTTGAAGAAGTCAGCAGTGCCCTGTGGCCAGTGTTCCCCACAGCACACAGCTACTGAAAATACATGCGAGAGAGAGAGTCTGTATTTAGATGTATTGCTCCTCTGTATTTCCCACTCATTTAAAGGTAAAAACTCTAAAGAGTGTCATGGTTCCAGGCAAGAATTACAAAACCGAACTTTTATTGTTAATTTTAAAAAATATAATGTATTTTAAACACAATGTACATACGTGAAAGTAATCACTAAAGTATGCAGCGTCTTCCCTTTGATAGCTTTTTCTCCTTTTCTTTTGCTTTCCCTGTCTTCATGTCCTGAGTTCTGTTCACTGATGATATGGCTGAAAATAGCAGCAAGAACAGATTATCTGAACACCACCTTATGCTAAAATGATTGAGGCCTCAGATGCAGACACCTGAAGCTTTGTAATATCCTCCCACATGTTACACCATACTTATCAAGCCCTTATAAATGCAACTTTAGTTTGCAATTCTTTATATGCAGGACACAGAACAGATAAACCCAGTTATAAATAGGCATCACCTCATTTGCTTTGTGAAGCCAAAGCACCAAACGCTGGAGTAGTGGCAAAAAGCTATTGATTTCAGAATGTATCTTATGGGATCGTGTGAAATTAATACTTTTGGTCCAACACTTATGAAAACAGGTTTACTTAGTGTGTACGTAAAAGACTTCCCCACCCTCCCTTTATATGTTAATTCTCGATACATTACAGATGTATGTTTTTTGTAGATACAGAAAACAGGCAAAATGAAGATGTTAATGGATGTCAAAGAATAAATATGAGAACATTTACCTTATACTTTAAATAATTTGATTAGTTTTACCTAAATCGGGTCACTTGTATGTCCCTGTGTGCACTCCCTGATGTGGGGAAATAATAATTTCCCAAATCTATGCAGTGAGACTTAAAGGGGAAAAGGGGAAACAACTAGACTGTGCAATAAGAAAAAGTGCAAAGAAATTCTGTCTCACTTGGCATCCTGCCATCACAAGAGTTCATGAACTTTTAACCAGTGACTTTAATGGGAGCAAGAAGAGAACCTGAAAAGTTCTCCATCGTCACTGTGGTCATCTCAGATTTTTTAAAAAGTTGAGGAGGAAAGGATATACTTCTAGGGCCACTGCTGGGAAACCATTTTTCAAGTATAGGGCTCTCAGAGTATCTTTCAGAGTCAACAGCTTGTAAAAAATTTCATTTAATTGGACATGACAGCACATGAGGGCACCCCTGACCAGCTGCCATGTTTGAAATGTTAAGGATCTTGAAGCTTATTAGAGTTAAGGGGCTGAGCAACAGTGCATTGTGGAGTTAATCTAATTACTCTCCTAGGAGCAGGATAATGTAGAAGTGGGTACTGCTAGTAAAACAGGCACATCTAAACTGACCTCATGCAAAAACACAGGTAGTGCTTTGGCAGGTAACAAGAACTATTTCTGGAAAGTGTGGGTATTTTGAATAAAATAGAAATATTTTTGGTAAATCCTGGCACCTTGTTTTTTTATCTGTAATGATTCCATCAGGTTTTGCAGGCTTTCCATCTTGTTCTGTAGCCTCCTAGGTGTAGTCTCACTAGTTTCCATGAGCTGAGAAGCTAGTGAGAAAATTATTCATCAATATGTTACCACAGATTAAAAAAACATAAAGGTAATTATAAATTATTGAAACATTACATCTAAAGTAAAGTTCTTAGAAAATAGAATTTTAAAGAATGAAACTTCCAGTAGCAAAGAAAATGAGTAAGAAGACAAGGTTATTAACAGAAATTTTTACTCAGTGGTATTTCTGTTTAAGTGAAAACACAACCACATTTCTGTTTTGCCTATAAATTTCCTCATTTGGGGAATGGAGAAAAAGCGCTTTATGCTACTTAAGTAGTATTTATGCCCACAACTTCTAAGTTCCTATTTACCAGTAAAACTGCAAGGGTTGGACAAAGGAAAGCAGTAGTGTCAGTTGCATTTTATGGATGGAAAACAAAGGTACAGAAAGATGGAACTTACTAAAACCAGGAATAAAACCAGAAATTCCAAGTCTTTGAAGATCCAGACCAGTACAGAATTCAATAGGCACTGTGCCTGTCTAACTGAACACTGACATGGTCACACCAGTACCTTATGAACAACCACAGTTTCCCGCCCTGGAGCCTCTTCTGACCAGAACTTGGACTGTTTCATTTTTGCTACAGTCATCAATTCTCAAATAAAAAGAGGCAACAAAAAAATTACAAGGAGCCAGTGATGGAGGTAACTGTCTGACCAGATAAACAAGACAAAACAAAAAAACCCAAAACAGAACAAAAGTGAGTGATGCCACTTTGAACTGAGCAACGATTTGCAATTGACTGAAGATTACAGTTGTGACCTGCTAGATCTCCTGTGGTCTACATGGAAACAATTTGGGGTTTGTGTCCCATTGCAGAGATAGCCACGCCACAAAGCCTGCGTGTTTCCTAAAACAGATGCAACCCAGAACTGAAGCTCGTTGCAGGGATTGTTGAATTGCTCTACAGGTACAGAAATTTGCATGTACTCACTCACAAAGCCAATTCAGTGCTTTGATGGGGAGATGCCACGTACATTTGTGCTCTGCTTCTGAACAGGCATTTCTTAGTTCTTAAACATGCATTAAAAATACAGATTAGCTAACAAATATGCATTTCATCTTTGCACAGCCAGACAGCTGGGGGAAGCAAAGGTCAATGAGCAACAGTGTTAATGTTCTAGTCAGGATGAGTGCTCAGCCCAGCTGGTTTAGATAATACTCTGCATAAAGATGAGATCACGATATTTCTAAAATACAAAAGATAAAGTGTCTAAGGAGAAAACTCCGTTAATAAAATAACAACACAATACAGACATGCTAAAGTTAGGTTGAAACTACAAAAAAAATCCCAATGAGAAGCAGGCAACATTATTCCTTTTGAGCTCCTTGGAGCTATGGTTAGATTTCTGCCTGTACCAGAACTAGCTTAGAGCTAGGTGTGCATCTCCATTACACTCCCAACTGCAGTGCTTATGTGCACATTAAGAGAAATGCTATTTTCAGACCTTGCAAAATAGAGAAATGTGGTGTTTAAAAATCGTATTCAGTAAGAATTATTTGAAAATTTAGTGGCTTACCTGTTTTTCCTATTGCATTTACTCATTTTGGGATCTGTCACTTGAATGTAATAAAGCAGCCCTAATTCACTGGCAAGTAATTAATAGACTACCTTGAGAATGTTCATCAACTTCACACATATTTTGTGATACAAGAAAACTTATTTTTAAGAGCTACACACACAGCTTTCCATCAGTATTTCCAGTAAACCTCAGAACGTTTCTAAACATCATATAGGAACCACAACTGTTACAAATATCGATAAGAGGCAACTGGGTTGCCTGTCACTGCAGATATTGATGTTAAGCATCCCTACAATCTACATGAATAAAGCAATTTACCAGTTCATAAATTTAGCAATGTATGGAATTTATCTTCTCTTCTCTTTGTATAATACATTAATTAGCTGTTACATTTTACTCACAATTATTTATCACAGAAAAAGCCTTCTACATGAACAGAACTGTGACAGGGTGAAGGCAGTCTGATCAAAGCAAGAACAGGTCACTTTTTGCTAAGTGGACCAGAACCACTAAAGCAGTGCTTTGAAATGAACCATCATTAATTATGTTTCAGTAAGTTTGCACACTGTAATTGAACTTGCTGGAACCACAAGTGGAGGATCAATCAATCCATGTCAGCCCTCTACACTGGAGAATCTACTAGTGTTTACATTCAGCAACGTGAATTGATTCCGTAAGCAATGTCTTACAAAGGTACATAAAAATAAATGCAGTATGAAGTACAGATACCACAATCATTAACTGTAAAAGACTGTATCAGTGAATGATAGTTGGGACTCCACTATTTTCTACAGAATTGCTGAATGGCTGAATTTAACTTACAGTATCTAACTCTCTTGCTGTATCGGCTGGAAAGAAACCCAGCCAAGCTCTTTGGATCAGTAAATGGGACCAGACTTACTTATCTGGGGGACCACAGCTGCACCCTCTGGAGAGCCAACCTTCCTTGTGGACGGCCTGTGCTCTGGTGAGGCGCTGGGACCAGCTGCAAGGTCATCAGGTGGGGCAGTTAATAGCAAGTGTACTGGAGACCTTTCTCTGTATCTATCCGCCTGAGAGACCTTCTTGGGGGAGGATACAGAACAAGGAGATGCTGAGAAGATGGATGGACCTCCTAGGAGATATCCAAGCAAAGAGTAGTAAGCATACACCTAAAGAGAAACACCCATACTACCTTTGATGTTATCTAACAGTTACAAGGTTGGATTCCCTTTATTGCACTCTCATCCTTTCCATTCCTTATTAGTAGCCTAGGTGGCAGGAGATGATAGCCTCTTTGCAAAATCTGACTGTTGCTGTTAAAAGTGATTGTCATGTGAAGAATGGCTAAAAAACCTGCCTAGGAAAAAAGTAGGGCCTGCTTTTTTTCTCCTGGCTACTCGCTTCATGTTTACTTCCAAAACAGCCTGATGGGGGTATCATAGCTACTCCCAAGCTGAGAGTCCCCATACATTACTGCTGGGCTGACTTGGATCTCATTACTTGGATATAAGAAGCAGAAAAAAAACCCCAATGTTGCTTACAGAGGTCTGCCAGTTCACTCCTCTCCAATAACTGATTGATATGCTTTGAATTCCTGGCAGAAAGATAGTCATAAGGAAAAGAGACAAAATATGCACGGAAGTATGCAGTCAACAGAGTATGTAATGTATTATCATCAGAGTATGTATGTATTTTCATGTATATGGCACACAGCATGTGCATAAAAAAAAAAAAAAGTTTGCATGCCACTAAGATTTACTACAATTCTTCTCTTCCCATAGTCTGTTTCCTTACTCCTAACACCCCCCCTGGGACATCTCAAAAATAATTCAGGGTTTTTCTACTACTTCTCGGGTCTTCTATGTAAAAAACACTACTTGCAGCTATTTTGGAAACTGGGAAAAATCCCTGGCTGTTGCAGTAGCTATCAGCTAGAAGGCTGACAGTAACTACTCATGAGATTTTCTTTAATACTCAGAAATACAAAAAGAGGACCCATAGAAATTATTCCTCAGGACAAAGAGGAGTTCTAGCCTACCTCTGAAGCACAGTGGCTTAAATACTAAAAGAGAACAATTAAATACATCAGCATATGCAGTCAATTTTCACAGAATGGATAATCTATGGACAAGAAAACAGGAATCAGCTAAGACTAGTATCTTCAAACCCTGATGGTCAAAGTCATAGCCTTATATTTCTGTTTAGGTTACTAAATTCATCTCACCACACTTTAAAAGGTACTGATCACCCAGTACTTGAGAGAAAATCAATGGAATTTGCAATGATCTGATGCCTCTCAAATGCACATCCATATTTAGATACCTGAATACAGAATTCAAGAGCCTAAATTTAGGTCCCCAAAATTTGACAATGTTATCCACGCTAATTACACAAGACTATTGCTCCTCATGAATAACTGCCATGGAAGATATCTATTTCAAGTGTGCTGGCATCAGCCTCCATGGAGCTGGTTTGCAACAAGATACAGATTTTTCAGTAAGTGCAACAGCGACTTTATAATAGCACCTGCAAAGAGGTATTTGAGTAAACAACCTAAGAAAATATACTGTATTTGGAGTGTATTTTTTGTAGTATTCTGTAAAGTTCCAGTTTGACATCGATATGGCATATTCATCCTCAAATGTGGCCACTGAAAACTTACCAAGTGATGTAAAGGGCAGGATAATGTCTTGGGATTGAAGATCTGCAGTATGTAAGCATGAAGGATCCCTGCAAGCAAAATGACGGCAAAACTTGCATTCTGGAAGTATTATGCTAAGTTTTGGTAATGCTAACTAGCCTCCACAGTGAGAATGTGAAACTCTCATATGTAATCTCCAGATCTTATACATGTAAATTGAAAGCAAACAATGTAAATAAGTTCCAGAGCTCTTTCTTAGGGGGATGAAAGCAACATCACAGCTTTGTTTTGTAAATCCCAGGAAGCTTTTAGCATTATGAATAAAACAATACAAACACACTCAGGACTGATGCTATATTTAAAAAGCCTTAGAAAGTGAATCTCAAATGAGTACTTTAAGAAGCAGGTTACTTAGCTAAGTGAAAGCACTTCTCACGGTCCAAAAGGACCCTTTTCCACAATGCTTTCAGTAGCAGAGTCTCTAGCTGCAGTCTCCCTACATGGAAAAACATATCACTCTGAAAATCACAGCAAAAGCTGTGCCAGTAGGATCGCTGTATTTCACATTTGTAGAAGATAAGCTTGTTTTTCAAGCAGAGTGCAATGGCAGCCACATTCTAATAGTGAAGAAAAGGCATTGTAAAATTGTTCTACAAGTTCACTAAAAGAAGTTTGTTAGAGTTGGAGCAAATTTAGATTACTGATTTTGTGGATATCTTTGGGAAATAAGGACTACATTCATTATGAATACTGGGTAGTCATAAAGATGGAAAAAAGACAATAAACTTCTGCTTTGGACAAATAATGCCATTGCAATCTTCCATCTGGTTACTCACATAACAGTGCCTCTATTTAGCTTCTTCAGACCAGCTTCCAGTTATTAGATGCTTTTTAGCCCATATTGCACCTAGCATCAGATGGCTACCATAACATAAATTCTTGCCTTTTCCAGGTTTGGACCTATGTCTTTTCTCAAACACTGTAAATTCTTAGAGCACAGTGGTATTTGATGAGAGAATGGAAATGGTTTACTGATTAATTTCCAAAGAACAGCTAGACACATTTTAAGTATGAGCATTGAGAGACACTTGGAAGTGTTCCAGAGAAGTAAAATCTTGCTGAATTTAATGTCAAGCTTTTGTAGAAGTGCTCCATTTCCACCAGAAGCTCTGCTATTCCATCTGTATCTACACTAAATCCCCTTGCTAAGCATCCTTGAAGCATACAAAGTGCTGTCTTTCTTCATCATACAAAACTTTGACGCTCTATTGTAAAGCTTTTTGTGACAAACTCAGCTTTGGAACAGTCAAAAAAAAATCAAGTTAAAATTTTCTAGCAAATGTCACTTGCCATTTGGCATCTTATATTCTGATATAGTAACTCTGGATACAGCACAACTTTTAACTAAGGCACTAGGAAGAAAAGAAAAAAATAATTGAGCTTCACCTCAGAGACAATCAACTAAATCTTAGCTCTGCTGAAGCTACCAAGAAACATCTTGTTCCAGCTTTCCCTTTCCATATACCACTTGTGTATCGTTTGGTAAAGGTCCTTTATTAATTAATAAAGTATCTATTTAAAAGGAAATTAACTAACTTTTATGGACTTCAGCAATGTCCTGTGGAAGTCATTACCACCTTTTTCTTTACAGAAAATGACAAGGTGACAAACGCCTTGTGGTAATCCTTCTCACTTGTTTAACTATTGTTACTGTCACTTGCTGAACTACTTCTCGATTGTTTAATTACTCACTTGTTTTTCAACTGTGGTACACAGGAACAGGAGCTTTGGTGATAAAGGACACAAGCCTGGTCAATGAATCTTACACATCACTACTTCATTGAGCTACTATTTGAGCAGGATTTTGATCTACAAGGAGCTTCTAGTCTTTACTAGAATATAAACAACCATTTCCTTCCCAACTGTTAAATCCATTTTGTACAACAACTCTCTTTTTATTTCTCAAAATATTGTCTGTATCGTCCTACTGTATACACTTAATCAGCATCTGTATCTGTGTTGTCCGTGACCTTTTCAGAAAGGTGATTCCTCACCTCTTGCAAGGATTAGATCGTAGGCCAAAGGCAGCAGCACATCCTCTACTTGCACCATCTCTGTGTAGAAAGACGTAGAAAGACAACATCAGGACTAGCACTACCAACAGCACTGAGATAGTCATGTACAGACAGACAGCTTTGTATACTGAGGGATGATTAGGTGCAGGATTCTCCCATCCTTGTTTCAGCTCTGTAAGAGAACACTGTTGCAAGGGAGAAAAATTCTCAGAAAATCCAAATGGTCTGAATCATAAAAGCTTCCAATCATATGTAGAAAATAACAGCTTCTCCCACTGCTACCATAAACAGAGAACATAGGCAATAATCATATAGTACAGGCTGGCAAAGGACACTGTTGATTGTCATGCTCTATCTATGTCAGGAATCCATCTATGATAGTCAAAGTCAAGGCAGAAAGAGGTTGTACATTTACTACTTAAAAAATCAGACAGACTGGCCAACTTCTGTGCATGGTTGTGACAACAGAAGCTTCTATATTTAAGCCGTCAAAAATGTTCAAGTTGGTAACAGGCAGATCTTTTGTTCAGTAAAAATACCCGGGAAAAGCAGAGAAAGCCAGAATACACAGGCTATTGGGACTGATGTGATTTTGTTCTACCAGAATGTACTATGGGAAAACTGTCATGGTTTAAATAAATTTGATCCTAATCGAAGTCCATTAATTATATTTTCCTTTATGAAGTATCCTTATGTTCTGTATTAGAAACATCAGAATTTGTGCTGTATTGATTTTTCAACTTCATGTACCACTGTCATTATCATTTGCTGGGTAAAAAAATAATTGCCTGCTTCAACAATGAGAGAAGAGATATCTACATAAAGCAGAAAAAGAAAGGAGTTCTAAATGAAAATAAAAGCAGAAACAGCAAAAATCAAACAATAAAGGCAAATGGTGTAGTCACCTTCTATTTCCCTAACACCTAAAGCATCTAAGGAACCTGGCAAGCAACAGCAGCTGTGGAAGCTTTCAGATTATCTCAAGCTTACTCGTAAACCCAACTTTCTTGCAAAAAGTCATCCTATACTGCTCCTGATGCACACAAATAGCCAGATACTAGTTTTAGAAGGCAATACAAGTACACAGCACACAACAGAAAGTAACAGTATATTACACTTTTTTCCTCATGGTTGCTAAAGGTGATTTCCTCCCACCATTTCTGTCATCTTTACCAAGATCCACAGAAGGAATGTCATAGTCTGAACTTTTTATTTCTTGAGGAATCCTCTTTAGACCCTGCAATGTTTTTTCCTTCAAAATGCCTGGCTTGGAAGGCATCTGAAATAAAATAATCAGTTACAAAGTATTATAAAGGCATTATCTTTTTAAATTCTTACCTATACTCAAAGTCAAATGTTTTCCCCCCTCTGCTCTTGTCTTACCAGTTAGAAACAGGGTGGGTTTCTTGTAATTTTAGTTAAGAAGTGTTGGAAGCTAGCTCATGATAACTTGAAGAATGTCAAAATACCCTCTGAATATAATCACACTCTTATCTGGAAAGCTATCTGACAGAAATATGTAGAGCAACTAAATATGACTTAAGGAAAAGAAAACTAACATCTGCGTTTTGTAAAAAAGGTTACAACTACAGTTTCAAGGTCAAAACCATTAAAATAAGCCTTTAATTATGAAAGCTTCTTCCCCCCAATACAACCATTACCTTTTTCAGTTCTCAGAACCAATAATCTTTGCTTATGTGAGAACTCCATTTTCTCTTTTTTTAACCTGTGATCCCAGGTATTACCGTACAGAACACAAATACAGCTCTGAAGACAGAAATACTAGTATATCAGGGTGTTTTCTAGGTGTTTTCATTTCTGTAACATCTGAGTTGTCTGCAAATATGCACCACTTTATTGTCATAGCCACACTCTGCGATGAAGTGCAATATTATTCTCATTTTACTGATCAGGACTTGAGCAAAGGCCTGCTTCAAAGAACCCTTTCTTTCTGTGAAGAACTGGATTTTTCAGACTACTCAAAACTTTACATGTTCAAAGCATCTCTTGCACTGACTTATGCTTCATCTGTGGATGGAACTGGCTAGAAACATTTTGCTAACATGTTTTCATTGGAAAAAAAAAAAAAGTCATTTCCAATGGGAACATACTAGTGTCAGCAGAGCTTATATAGAGAACAAATCCTCAGCTTCATAATGGGTCAATGTGATACTGCATCAGACCAAATCCTTCTTTCCCACATTCCAGCTAAGAAACCAGTCTATCGACCAGGTTAGGTCTCTGTCTCAACTGTTGGAGAGAACTCAAAGAGAAAAGAACAGGAGTGCCTGATGCTGCAAGGATTTCACAGAATTATCCTTTGTTCCTTGATGTATATGTTTGTCACAACATCAGAAAGAAAAACAGAAAAAATTACTGAAAAATATCTTCACTAACTTGTAATATCCTGCAGATTTTGAGATAAAAATTAATGAAAAAACCTCTACCAATTTCTGTGGGAGATACATCAGATCCCTTTTGGAGAATTATAAAATATCTGTATAGAAAATACCAAAGGATTTTTTTTTTTTTCATGAGAGATTTGAGTTGATGTTTTCTGTAATGAAAAATTAGAACAACACTAGCATCTAATTTAAATCTAAATGTAGATGTACAAAAACAAAAGGAAGGAAGGACAATGATGTGTCTTTCAGGACAAAATTCATCAAAATTAGTGAAGACTAGCTTGGAGAAAGATTTAAGTATTGAAAGCTACTACAGCTCAATCAGATGTTGAAATTTATCAGGAACTACGTACAAGTCTATTTTCACTGTCAAATGTAAGTGATTTACAGCAAGTAAAGTGCTAGCAAAAAAAAAAGTGAAAACAGATCAGTACCTTCAATTTTAATAGTTTATAAATGTTATTGGTGATAGAAGTAAGAGAAATTCCTATTGCAATCTATAGAATTTTTTGTTGGTTTTATATGTATTTTGCAAACAGAAAAAAAGGAAATCTGAAAGGTCATAACATAAAAGAAGTTACAGAAAATTATTTCATCTTTGGTGTAAAGAATTCACTCTTGGACACTCCTACCAGATGCTCTCCGATTTAGAAATTCCATGTTATTTTTACTCTTTGGAACATCCCCATTTCCTGTGCAGTCTCCCATTTTGAGGCAGGTACTCACATGAGGGGCACAGCTGGCCAAGTTCAGGGAAGGTGGCACAATAGCAGAGTGCAGGTGGGAGAGGGGCACTACATGCTGAAGCTTTCCTGAAGCAGAAGCTGATGAGTAGCCTGGGCCCTGCAGCTCCTGCAGAAAAACATTAGTCAAGCAGCATAAGCAAGTATGGCTAAGCAGAATTAATGGGCATAGACAGCACACTCTCTGTAGCAGGGCATCTCTTTTAGTTAAATCTTTTATAATATGCAGCACTCAATTCTCCAAACACTTCCTTGTATTTATTAAATGTGCTCAGACGTAATCCTTTTAGTGACTGAACTGGGTGCAAGAGCAGTACTTTTGTTTATTTTCAGAATTTTAATGTATGTTCTGGAACCATTCAAATGGAGGACATCTCAAGGTCACCACAAAATTAAGCTGTCCCACAGTTCTTGTAGCTTTTTTTCCCCCACTTAAGTGGGGAAATTTTCTTGTGGTGGCCACAAGAAAATGCTGAAGGGTCAGTGAAATCAAAGCTTAGCAGCTGAAGCATATGGTCCAGTATTCCTGTAGCTGTTTAATTTTTTTCTTGCCCTTACTGTAAAAAAACACTTCATTGTAACCAAAATTATGGACGTGACTTGTGCAGCAATGAGGTAGCCCATTGTAAAAAAAGGTTTCAGAACACAAACTTTTTTACAGTACTTGGCAGCAAATAGGGTTACACTTAAAGTTAGGACACAAAGTAAATGCATCTAACTTTATACTCATGTTTCTCTGTTAACATACTTACTTTTACATCTAAAGTATGCTGCAGTCTGACACGCATAGCTTCTTGTTCCTGACACTGGATTATGCACTGACATTCTGCAAATTGCATGGATGCCTGTAAGAGAGGATAGAAGGGGCATAAATTAATTTTGTTAACTTTCTGTGGATTATACTTTTTCCTGTTTTCTTTCTGATAAAGAAACAACAAGGTACACATAGAGATGCTGTATTTCTCTATTGCTCTTAGTGTAGAAATACTGCAATATGACCAGATACCTTTCTTGATAGGCTTACAAAAGCAACTGACCAGTTATATGACCCTAGTAGCCATAACATGCACACTATAATATCACAGAAGGGAGCTAATACTGTCAGGGACAGTCCTAGACCTACTGAACACCTCTGGGATTAGAACCTTCAACTGTGCTAATGAGGTAAAACTATACTCAATGTTTTAAAATGGATGGCTGGTAACTTCGTTGATATGTCTTTGTTAAATTATTATATACTCATTCTTTTAAAAGTTTACTCCAAAAAGGTGTGAGAAGATCTATTAACATAGCTATTTTTCATTGAGTGCTTGTCAGAATAGCAAGAAGAAAAAGAAAGGAAGCTCTAGTCCAAAGCAGAAAAAGAGAGACAGAGACCTTTATGAACCAGGCTGCTTTTCTCACTAGCAGACTTCCCTCTTTGGTTTTAAAATAAAACCTGACTCTGTCTGTGCTTGTTTATGACTGCCACTGAGGCACAGGCAGGGTCCCTGAGGTGCTGTGGCTGTATCATTACAAGCAGCAATTTTTTGAACATTTAATTTTAAATCATTGTCAAGCAAGATGGTCAATTACACTTTATGATGTTTATACAATGGATGTTTTGCAATGGTATATACGAACATCCAGTCAAATGACCCAGTACAACCTTTACTAATTTCTAAGAATTGTTACTCTGTTTACCATATGTGCTAGTTTTCAGTTAGCACCTGACTCCACTGTGTCTCAGCTTCTCTGCCAGTTGGTTAGTACTGTGCACAATGACATATACAACAAAGAAAGTTAAGTTTCCAGTGTCAAGCATTTAAATTAAGCAATGACACACTCAGGAGGAGGCATCACAATTACTTCTACTATTTTTTAAAGTAATAAAGCAATTTGAGAATGACACCTTACATGGAAATTTACATCCTGAAAAGCTAGAATTCTGAGAAGGTGAAAAGAACTCTTTCTTCTGGAAGACCAGCAGCTTACCTGTAGAGCACCTGGGATTTATGTGCTAGCGAGATCAACATGTAGAACCTAGCCTTAAGAGTCAAGTATGTCAGCAACAGAAACCTCAACTAAGAAAGTCAAATGAAACAACATGATGTTTTTAAAAATTTCCCTCACCCTGAGGGACCTACAGCTCTAGGGCCCCAGAAAGGGCTGAGCATGGACAAGTGTGTGGAGTCAGTGTGTGCCAACACTTGGTTCCACTGGAGTCCCTGTTATATTGAATCATAGTCTTTCTCATCAGAGAAAGGAGCAGTGCCAAGAGCTAGTGGAAGGTCTGGAAGGTCAATCTACTGTTAGGAAGATCAATCTGCTTTAAATTCCCTGCAGTTTGTATTTCCCCGAGCTAGTAAGGAGTAAATCAAGAATCCTCTTAAAGAAAATTGAAGCTTTTTACCATTAAAAAACCAGAAAACAGTCTTAACTATAGGTATCTCTTCAGGTAAGTATCTCAGAGTACATGTGAATAGGCTAAACTAAATACAACCTAGGTAAAAGGTCATACATTTTCTCTTCCCAAGTGACTGCAGAGGAAAGCATCCCAGAAGTTTCAGTGAACTGAAAGCTACCTTAAATTACCTTATCAAGGGCAGTCTCCATCCTAGATATTTTTTCTTTCAGACGTTTGTCTTGTGATCTCAGGATGTCCAGTTCCCCAGAAATCTTGGTATTTTCTGCTGTAATACAGCTCAAGTCTTGACTTAGTTTATTATTTTCTTCTTTGAGGTAATGCTTCTCCTGAATTTAAGATGAGGACAACAAAGTACAAGTCAAAAAGTTGTAACTACCTACATTACACATACTGTTTTTCTGCAGTTATTTTTTTTCTTTGAAAGATCTGAATTAACCTTTTTAGAAGCTTAGCTATTGCATCCTTCAGAAAGATGAGGTTTTGCAACAAGAAGACAGGTATTATAAAGAAAAGTACAATTGGACAGGTCTGATGAAATAACATCTTAGATTTTATATCCATTTTGAAACTAGAATTTAAGCTTCCAGATCCATAGGTTCCAAAGCCAATAAAGAAGGAGGACGGGTTATAGTGATCTTTCAGTAAACTCCAACTATTGGTAACTGAGTAATTTCTTTGTCACAGAAAATGCTAAAGACCTCAATATGCTAGACAGACTCTGACACAGAGAGTTTACAACCACAGCTGCAAAGAACCACCTCAGAAAACAAAGAGGGGAAGCAATGTGGGCCAAATTCAGAAGCATACAGAATTTAGTTGACATTTTTAAAAAGAGCTGGTATGTAAGAGCCTGATTCTCATTGAAACTAGTACTGTTCTTTCATGGAGAACAAATATAAACTAAAACCTGTCTTTACATAGAGGCTAATTTATTTGGTGGAGATATTCTCTGATATATGCTAGGGGAAGGACAGGAAGGGTGCCCATTACATCAAATAAAATTCTTTTTCATCCTTCCTCGGCCAATTGTGCCTTTGGCCATGCATTCCTCCAAAGAAAAATTTCTCTGAATACAGTTAAATACTTTTACAGGGAGCTTTTGTGACCTTAGCTGCATTTGTCATTGCCTCTTCCAAGAATTTAATCTTGCTCTGTAATGCGTCTATCTGTTCTCTCTTGGCTGTGATCAGCTTCTGCATTCCCACTGCAACTTTCATGGCTGTAAAAGACAAGGTTAATTCTCAATAAACATCGATTATGCATTCTGAGTTCTGATAAAAGACTCTGGAAGTCAGTTATTAATGTCAGCAATATGTTAGAATATGTAAATTGAACCAGGATTCCCTAGTCACTTATGTGTGCAAGCCACCCATTAGAATCAGCTGGAGATTTGTCCAAGGTAGTGGCACCAGACCCATCACACACAGAAGACAATAAGAGAGCATTCCTTGGAAATATGCGTAAAGATCTCCTGAGAAAACTCAAAAGTTTTACAGTATGAAATAAATGGTAAAATGAAAATGCTGGCATCTGCAATACTTTATTTCACAAAGTTGCTGGAATATTATTATAGTATCTGTTGAGGGATCAATACTTCCAAAATCCCCTTGTTAAAAAGACAAATGTGTGATTTGGGGGAAATGCAATCCATAACAACAATTACCATCCGATCCCTCCATATTCTTTAGAGCAGTCCTGGTCTGTTCCAGTTCAGCTTGGGCAGATTTCAACTGCATTTTCAGTCTGTTTGCAGTATTTTCCATCTCCTTGACTTTATCCTGGTAATCTCTCTTCAAATCTTCAAATCCCTCTGGTAAATAAAGTAAGTAAAGATCGAAATTCTAGTGTCAAAAATTATCATTCTTCTAGACTAAACTAACTGATCTCTCACCTACCCTCTTTAAAGGAATATTAGATATGCAGATAACTAAGACATAAGGCAAGTAACATCCACTGCTGACAAATGCACAACTAGTAGTTCATTGTCCTGCATGTCAGCAAAAGCTGTTTCACCCAAAACAAACGTGTTCTTTGGTCACTTGTCAAAGCAAGAGTATAAGAAAGTGATAAAAATCCCCATTGCTGAGTTCCTGTTGCTAGAACCAACTGCATATTGTGAAAGTTAAGGGTATTAGTGAGAGACAGCATTTTGCCCTGGTAATTTTTCTCTCCAGCCACACTTATAACCACTTAGGTCTGAACTGACCTAATTTGTCAAGCATTCCACTGCAACTCTACTTCTCAGCATTGTTTTTTATCTCTCTCTTCAACCCCTAATGTCACCCATACCACTGCAAGCCAGCTCTGTGCTCAGACTCTATCAACGGCTTGGCCCTAATTCCTCTATGTTTTTTCACTCCGATAAACCTTTCCTAAAGCTCATTCACGCTGACAGTACTATAGAAACCTAAGGCAGACCTTTCATGTAAAAATCACAGTATCTGTTCAATCTTTACAACATTTAATGAGTTTAAAAGTATAGCCAAGTTGTGAAGAAATAATGTTACCCATGGGTATTTTATAAGAGTACAGGGGTGTGTAGCGAGCAAAGCATGTGAACAGTATCATCTGGCTGCAGTGCAGATTTAAGAGCAGAACTCCCTGAATTCTGGTAGTTGCCTTGGGTCCAGCCCCTGATTTTTTTAAGTATTACCTTGATCAGGCTCCCCACACAACAGTTGTGAAAACGCAGGAGTTAGAACATAAACTTTTAAATAACATTGTAGCAAAACTACTCCAAAACAGAAACAACGTTCCACTGTAATTTGACCATGGATGGTATACTAGTGCTCTTAATTAACACTGAGGAAAAAGTGGTCAAGTTTCTATTCTGTGATTTACTAAATCTGTTTCTCTGATCTCCAGAGTGAAGCGGCTTAAGTATTTTTGCTCCAGGTAGTGAGAGACTGCCATAAAGACTGCATTCCTATCATTCTGTCAGAATCCCAAACCATGACATAGCTCTCTGAAGCAATCTGACCATCCCATGCTGGCAGGGAACCTTCTTGTGTACAAGCAGCCATATTTGGACTCAGCAAGCAAGCTGCTCTTTTATTTTTAACATCAGCCCAATTTAGCAGCTCTTGGAGCTGAGCTAAGTTGAGGATTCCTACCTGCAAGGCCAGCTAGCTCACTCTGACTGGCTTGAAGTTCATTCATTAGCTTATCTTTTTCCAGTTTCATATCATTAAGTGCATGGAGCCTCTCAGTGCATGTCTTAACCAGTTTAACCTTTTCCAGTTCCAGCTCACTCAGTCTGGCCTCCATTTCATGTATTCTGGCTTCTTTCTCATCCTTTGCAATCTACTTACATAAAAAACAATAGTATCAATGTGTAATATATATAATTATAATAACCACAAAGATGTGCAGTTATCATTATCACTTTAAATCTCAATTGTCAGAGAGCAGTTTGGGGCAAGAAAGAAAAAGAGTAAAGCAGACAAATTACTTTTGTGAAAATTGCTAATCCAGGCAAAAAGGGCATAATAAAATCTGACCTGATGGCTTTACAGCATGTTTAACCTTACCAACCATACAAAATGAAAATTATTTCCATCCTCTTGTAGCACTACCTCCATATTCAGTTCTAAGGTCAAGTGAAGAGGATGTAATTTCCTACCTGGAGTGACTTTTTACTAAAGATGCTGACCTGCATAAGACTACCATATCCTGTAATTCTTGTCTGAGAAATACCCAGTTATAAACAGTGTTCTCAGTTTGGAATTCTGAGTGCTCACTGTCTGTTATTTCCCAGTAACACATTGTATTTCTCATTCTGTTACTGGTGTAGACAATTGTATCATCGAGGTCAGCATGTTATATTCTAACTTTCATAAGCCTTTTGGCAATGGCTTTTCACTTGTGAATTATTCATCTTTGGCAGTAATGTGATAATATTCTGCTCTGCCCACTAACTCTTCTCGTGATGTTATAGACTTCAAGGTGCATTGTCTGACCTGCTTTAAAACCACAGTGTGAGCACATTAAGATACAGACTTAAAACCAGAAAGCATTTACTGTCTTAAGAGACATATATACAGTATCATTTTCACACCTTAAATTCTTCTACTTTGAATTTCCAGTCATTTATTTCTTTTATAAGCTGAGACTTCTCAACTTCCATTGCTCCAGCAGTTCGATTGTGCTGACCCACAATCTGGGTCATGTTATCAATTTGTTTTTGGAAAATCTCAACAATTCTTTCCCTCTCTAACATCTGTAGTTTTAGTGTTTCACATGTTGACTGCACACTGTGTAAATGGTCCTCTTCATTCTTTAGATCCTGGAGCTCCTGCATCCTATCGCCACGTTGCGAATGTAGTTTCTTGATTTCCTTATTGGTAATCTCAAGGGTTCTCTCTTTCTCCTGCAGACAGGCTGTCAGATTTGACACTGTCTTCTCAGCAGTCTCCACATCAATCTGTTTGGCTGTAAGATCTTCCTTAACTTTACAAAGTGTTTCCTTGGTTGACTCCAGTTGGACAGTCAAAGAGGAGATTCTTCTAATGCTTTCATTTTTTTCTCTAATTGCAGCCATCTGAATAACAGCAATATAAGGATCAACCAAGAGAAATGTTTATTTCTACCTTTAGAATTTTCTGTCACATTTCTGGTTTACTATAGTTCATCTTAAACATCTGAGTTTTACAGAAAAATTAAGTCAGTATGGTCTGGTCTACAATGACTGTGTGATTCTTCTGGTTTTCCTTCCCCTTTATTCATTTTAATAAATGAAGTATTGTTTAGAATATGAGATTTTTAACTATAGAAAATGAAAAAATGTTAAAATAATGTAAAAAAATGAATAAACCAGAAACGTTAGTATAAAATTTAGGCTAAGGAACTTTTAAGTATTAAAACTCAACTGACTGCACTGTAAGATGTGAAAAAAGTACTTACATGAATAATTTATTTCCAAATTTATTCCTGCAGGCAGTAATGTGCACCATTTAAAGCACAAATTACTGTGATTTGGGAACTGCTACTAGTACAAAATAGAAACTGAAGAAAATAATGAACTTCCTGGTGGGAGGATTTTAAAGGAAAAAGAATGGATTGAGAAAATGTAGAACAACGTGTGCTGTAGCACAAGTCTGTGGTTTGGTGGAAAAAAAAAGGAATTAACTTGATCTTTATTCATAATGCAAAGTGGGTTACCTAATTACAGCTCATTTTTGAGGGGCTGAAGGCTTGAAGAAAGGGGAATGTACTTACTACAAGTCAGTGTCTAGGAATCTACTCTGTCAGAAATAATTCTTTCTGACATAGCACTGCATTCAGCTTAGGGCTATAAACACAAACTTCATTAAGTACCACATAAAGTAAAGCATTATGAAGGCCTTTAATTTACTTATTATTCTTACAGAAGCACTCACTACTGAAAATACTATCCTCAATAATTTGTTTGTTACATCTGGCAGCATCAAAATTTCTGGAAATTTACAAAATGTTGTTTCGGAGGTTTACAGACAAAATCAAACACATTATCAGCAGAACATTCATCGTCTCCCAAGGTTTGTACGTCAAAAATCAAAATTAAAAATTATGCCTCTACTTCCTCAACAGTAAATGACATGAAGGCTGGACAGGTCAGATTAATAGGAAAAAAAAAAAATTGCAAATTCTGATTGTCATGTATCTGCATCTTTGGAAGGAAAACTTTGGTACATGAGCTCCAGAGGCCTCCCCACAATGATAACCAGAGTATTGCTCTCTGAAGTACAGTCCCCAGTCAGTGCACTTTCTACCCTGAACACTCTCACTCTGCATTGCTCACCAACCTGGTGCTCCATTTGCCTGTGACATTCAGTCCTCATTTCCTTCACTGTGTTTTCCATGAGCTGCAATTGCATGTTTTTGTTGTCTAGTTCTCTCCTTCTAAGGTCAACGGTGATGCCGTTGTCTGTGTTCCGATCCCAAAACCACTTGTTCTGCTCTTTTTCTAGACTTAGTTCTATCTCTTTTTTATGAAGTTCAGTCTACAAGAAATTAAAGTCATCTCCCTCCCTGAATCACATTTAGGATTTTTGTGGTCTTTCTCTTTACATTAGCAACAATTACATGATTCCATACCTGAATAGGGACTCCTGCATGGATTTACACAGCAGAAGACAGGAATATTGGCTAAACCAGTCTGACACCTCCTACATGTTTTCTTCCAACAAAGCAGTAACTTTCAACTTTGTATATTAGTGCTATAATTATTTTGAAGCATATAACACCTCAACACTGAAGTTTTTCATGTCATTTATATCTAGCTCAAAATCAGTATAAACTACAAAATGAAAAAAGATTATATTGTGTCAACATAAATGAAAAACAGTGAAGCACTACATTACATGCCAAGGAAGGATGCTCTTAATAAATACCCATTTTTATCACTAGCAAGAACTGTTCACTGCTTGCTTCATTTCATGCAGTAATCTGCCACATGTTTTCCAGAGCTTAAATCTTCTCTCCCTCTGACATAATCCCAACAGTACATAATTAAAATTATAAATGATAATTTAAAATTGAAGTACTATTAAAAATACTGACATACACATTTTAGAGCTACTAATTTCAAAAAAAAGAATTTAAAATGTGCCCAAACTGAATTATCAATAGGCTTTTCTGCTAATGATAACTTTTGCTACTGTTAACTATCAGCGTATTGTTAAAGGTGAAGTAGAGAACTAAGTAGGAAGCTCAGAGTGTTGCAGAATGAAAACATGAGCTGAAGACACACAAACAAAAGGAATCCTAAAATTAGATCCCTAACCTTCAATTATGCAATGATTATTCTGACTTCAGTCTTCTCTATAGTTACATACAATCTGTAGGAAAAGATTTACACTAACATCTTCTTATATGGAATGAAATAATTTCAACACCTCCTTCAGAAGCACTGTGACACTAACTGGGCAAACAAACCTAATGAAACCACACAAACTAATATCTCAAAATTCAGTAATTAAGGAATAATCTTATATTAGAAGAAAAGCAAGGCTAATTATAGTACATGAAGCCAGCTGTGATGATCCAACCCTATGAGGGAAAATTTTTTTAAACTGTAAGTTCAATTTGTGAATATTCTCAATCAGTTACAAAGGAATGTTTAGTACTGTTAGGAAAATCCTGGATATGTCTTGCAAAATATGTGTTAGGAACCAAGGTTCCTTAACAGAGGGATTTAAACTGTGAGGCTAAAGTGAAGATGGCTCATCAACTTTCATATAATTTGCATAGGATTCAAGGGTTTTGAATTAATCTTAAAGTTAATATTAATTCTGAATGTCCTGCATTGCTAATGGTAAAGGCCTTTGGGAAACTTTCTTCACAGCTAATTCAAATTTCTAGTAAAAAGTAATCCTCAAACTTAATTATAAGGGGACTGGTGCACTTCCAAACAAGCAATGTGCAAATCTGAACACCAGCAGTAAGGAAACGCTTTTAGAAAGCAAGATTTTTTTCAACACCATCACTTGTTTTTACCAACAATTGATGAATCTGGCCATTCAGACTTCCAAATTCTTGGCCGTGCTGATTCTGTTCTGTCTGGGCTTCTGCTATCTCAGAATGAGCTAGGTGCAACTGCTTCTCAAGATCTTCAACCTAGAATAAAGACAAATATTCATAAAGATTTAGCTTAATGTTCTCTATTTGAAATAGTACATTGAATTTATTCTAGTTTTCTTGTAGGTTCTACTCAAAAGAAGTCCAAATGTCATCTTTCGGCTCAGCAGAGTTATTCCCTAGGTGTATTCAGAATTGTGTTGTCTTCTTTTAGTAATGAAGCTCAATTTCATTGCAGAGTTAACTGAAATTCCTGAGAATGAACTGGCTTCATCCTGACCCACAGCTCTTCAAAAATTCCTTACCTACACCATGAACACTGAATGGAATGGGAAAAGCATTCAACCTCCTTCCTTGCTTGATTTGCAGTACTACTAGTTAGAAAAGCCAATATAACACAACTATCAGTAAAACACAATTTACATGGAATCATTCAAACAGTGCTCTTCTAATAAACACTTTAGGATCTGCAATCTCTCATTTGGCTAATACCAAAATCTGGGCATTTCCTTTCTACTGCCTTAAAAATGTTTTGTCAGCTTGTGACAAGAGCAATAATACCTTCCCTTCCTCTTCTGCCCCCCACCCCCTCTTTAATGCATAGGATTAGAATGATGACATAACTCTTTCAAATTAGTAATGGACCATTTATGGAGGGCTAGCCCCAAAACCTCATGTCCTTCACCAAATAGGAGCTGGGAACATCAGGATGATATGAGAGGATGTTGTCAAAAAAAGTTCTGAATATCTTTTTATGAAGTTTTTCTTCCCCAAAATTGGATAAAATCAGTAATCTTCTCTTTCTAGAGCTCCAATGCCTAAGCAGTAGGACATTATCATGGTCATTTTGTCCTATAATTGCCCGAGTCCTTTTTGAAAGGGGTTTTTCCTCATCTCGTGGAGGCCTCCATCAGGAGAAATCTCAGTAAATCCTAGATTACTTCTCCCTGAAACCCTCCTTACACAGCTACTCCATATTTCCACAGAAAATCTAAGCCTGAAGTACAACTTCTGCAGAGCTCAGTGACAATGTACATTATCCACAGGGCTTTTGCATACAGTGACAGAAAGAGCTGTCCTCATACAGGGCCTCTCCTGTACAATTAAGCTGATTTAGGGAGAATTTGGTCCCAAGCATATATTCAGCCATATTCACTTTGTGTTTAATGATACAGTGAAGCTCTTCGGATGGACCTAGGCCTAGGAGCAGGTTTGATGTAGCTAAGGCAGGAAGATATATTCTTTCTCTATGAATACATTAAGAAACATGCAGGCAAACAGTGGTAGTCACTTTCTCTGACAGGATGTAGGTGTATGAGATGATGGACCAGTCTACAATATTTTTTAATAAAGATATTAACATAGGCATATCCAACCAGAACACTTACGCACTTACATTTATATCCACTAAGTACCAGATTTTCTGACTGCTGAAACTGTCTGGTATCAACAACTTACACTAGCTTTAGTTTTTACACACTCCCTTGAAAATTTTAGTTGCTAATGTGTTTTCTTACCAGAGAAGCTGTGGAGAAATGCTTATTGTAAGAGAGACATACAGTTGTAAAGGCTTTAGTTAGATTGTCTCTCACACCTTCCCAGGAGTGACTCCACATAACAGCCTGAGATCAAGTGATTTCAGCTATCAACTTGTCTCTCACTAAAGTCTACCTTAGCAATTCAGTGTAATATACTTCCTATTCAAAAGCAATTTTTATTGGACCAAGTAGTGTAATATTTTATAAATATACAAACCAAACATCTTCTGGAGTTGGTAAAGTGTGAAAAATAGCCTTAAACTGATTCCCAGTTTCCAATTTTACACCTGTTATGAGGTAAACATTATGAAAGGGTACATGCCTAAGGAATACAGTTATAGCTATATATGTGATATGACCTTATGCTGTGCACCGCATGATTTAAATCAAAAGAATTCAGGTAAACAGACCTAACATAAAAAGCATACTGTATACTGTACTCTTTCTTGAGGGTGAAATACAGTAATGGAGATGAATTTACAAATTCTCCATAGTTCAGTTATGATGCTGTGAGAAGTCACTTTCGGAACCAACTAGTTTGAGTTTTGGTATGTGTTAATTAAGGGGATTGATAGAAGGGGAAACCTACAGAAATGATAAACCACAATGTCCTTCCTGCTCTGCTTTACAGGGCAAATACACACACACCATGGCTCCACAGGCTTGATCTGCACATCCCCGCCATTCCATTCTCAGACCTTTTTGGATCAGAGACTATCAGCTCTGCCAAACTTCACAGCACTTCTGTGACCTGAGCTTTCCATTTCCAGTAGTATGTAGGAGAAGGATGCCTAAATCCTCATGACTTGTAATCTAAGCTTGATTTGGATCCATCAAGCATTTCTGCATGGGTCAGTTCCACTAATTTTTAAAGAGAGTGGAAAGCAACTGTTTTCAAGTAATTTTCTAAGGAAAACATGAATTATCTTTCACCAAAAATAAGAAAGAATTTAAAGACAGTCAAATTATTTATAAAACTGGAATCCAAAGCAGTGAAATAAGTGAAAGATACAGCAGATGTGATATGGAAAGGGGATATAAAATGCTGCAGTTAGTGACATGGTGGAGATTCTGTGGTGGCACTTCAAGAAGTTCTCTCCATTTGTCAGCAGTGACTGCCTGCTCTACTACCTGAAAGAAAGTTGGTGTTCAGGGATAAATGTGGTTAAAAAAACATTTGTCAAAACTAATGTTTTCTAATGGGATTAAGAAACGTTTGAATACACAGGTGCTGGCCAGCCCCTCCTTTTTGCCTATATTATATCCTGCTGATAAGAAGCCTTTGGATTTCAATGAATGTTAAAGATTCTTAATTCACAATGGGGCATCTCTGGGCACCTAAATGCTTCTTAGATGCTGCTGTAATCTCTATGTTCTCCTATCCTTGCACTTACTAAGAAAAAGTTAGCAAAGAAATTTTTTGGGCAATACAACCTAAATAAGAAGCTATTTTTATTGCCTGTTTTTTTCTGAGATACTGTCTAGTGGTATAGTGGAACAACGTTCTTGTTCTGCATGTGCAAGTGATGTCTGTGGTGCAGAATCATTTTATGTATTTCCAGAAGGCATCATTTATAGTATGCTCTCAATACATTCAGCAAAACTAGTTTGTATTTAACAAGTTTTGCAAAGCTATTTTGTGTTAGAGAAAGATAACGTGTTCTTAAAAATAATACAGAGTTAAGGATAATGTAATTTATCTTATTGTCCACAAAGTCTTCCTGAAGCAATCTCTTATGAAAAGACTTTCCTTATGTATCCGGAACATTTCAGATATCCACATACCCAGTTGCATTGTCACTAATGCTAACACACAAAACCATACACACCTTGTCTTCATATATCCTCTTAGCTTCTCGTAATTCAGGACACAGCTGAGAAACTGTAGATTCCAGGTGACTGACTTGATGTGCATGCACTGAATTTTGGTTTCTTGTTTGTTCTCTAAGGAAAGTTTTAGGTGGAGAAATTAGAAACTGTAAGAACCATCAAATCATGAAACATTTGTGGTTGTTTTCACTGCAATCAGTATGACCACTTAAACTTACTGTCTAGAAGTACAATTATCATTCACAGTGACATCACATAAAAATTACACCTCCTTACTAGTTAGTACTTTTTGCTCCTTGACATCACTAACATAAAATTACATAAATTGTAATCTTAATACTTATTCTTGATGATAACTCATTTATTCTCAAGAAAGTTCTAAGAAAGGTAAGTGTGCTTTCAGATGCACCCCAACTATTTTATAAGCAGAACTGAGAAGCATTTTGTTATCAACTGTTCAGTCTCAACGATTGAAGTCAGGTATTAATGTATAAAGATATTTAAATCTCATCCGTAGTTTGCAACACTGCATAGGATGTCCTCATTTAACTGATATACTGAGCCCTGATTTCTGAGTCATCAAGTGGCCAGTGAAAATTAGTGTCTTTTTATTCTCATGCAATTGTTACCAAAGTCAATGGTACCAACATACCTATTTATCCCAAATGAAAATTACCCTTTCTTTAAAATTACCATTCATTACTATTTGTACATGTATGCAATCACTCCAACTGTTTATTCATTCTTGGTTGTGATTCAACTGATAATGCTGCTGGAAATTAATTTTGTATCCGAATCCATACAACATTTAGAAGGCAAAGGTGATGGTGCTATGCAGCTACAGCTCTTAGCTTACATACTCTTTCGTTCATTGACTGTACCCATGTACTCTGCAGAAAATGTTCACAACTCAGAGAAGATTCATCGTTCCAAAAGCTGGTGGCAAGAACAGATCTGACAGCTCGAGCCAGTTTGTATTTCCACTGACTTTGCTGGCCTTATTCTTCTCCTCAACCACAGCAGCCCGAGAACCCGAGTTTCCTGATTCTCAATAGAAAACCAGCCAGAGTTTCTCGATTCTCAGAGTCTGCCTAATGCATGGCCATTCTGTTTCTCCTCTATGTGATAAGTGATCAAGGGTCATTTGCAGATCAAACGGGGTTTTTAATAAAAGGAATGATCTTGCTGCAACAGATCTGAGAACGTCCTGTCTGTCTGGCAAGGGAGAAAGGACCTAAGTGCGAGGTTACAAGATGTACTGTCTCAAGGCAACTGTTAAACTACAATCTTATATTACCATGACAACTGTTGAACTTTTGTCTTTGTTTAGTTTAGACCTTAGTGTAAAAGAGATTAGTTTTGTAATTTACAACTTCACAGCTCCTTGTTAACAAATGCACAACCCCCCATTGTTATGTGACTGAAAGCCTAACTATTTGCTCAAACCGACAAAACGACCTTGAAGCTAGCGCCAGTCTTAAAGACTTTATAAAAACAAAAAGAAGCTGAGAGGCGTGCCGAAGATGTCGAAACCGACCTCCGTGAGGATAAAAAGGCCGTGTTACTTGTTGGAATTTGCAACCCTTGGGTAGAGCTGCGACTCCCCGGCCTCCCAGCGCGCTGTTTTTTGCCTTCCTACCTTAATAAATGTTTAGTGAATTTATTTCGGACTCTAGTAATTTAATTCAACTATAACACTCTATATAGCATGGTTTCAGGTTTTTTTCAGTTTTTCCATTTTTTCATCATTCCATAATTTACGCAAGGACTGCTTAACTCTTCAAAGAAAGACACCAAGAAACCAAAAGTGTAGGGCAGAGTAGAGTATACTAGCAGCATAAGCTTTCTCTCAAGGTTAGTCTTAACATTTTTTACACTATAATCAAAAAACATACTGAATGATCTCCATCTGGCTATTTTCATAGCTGTGTGCACTGTTAGCTTTATCAGTTAGTGCTGCCACCTCCTGTTCATGCTCACTTATTAGCTGCTCAATTCCGTTTCAAAAAGAAAATACTGGTTATCATTTTAGTCTTGGCAAACTGACTTCTCCACTGAAGAGGTAATGATATTTTTCAGTAGTCAGAAATGTAATAATTTTGATGTTCCACTGCGAATGAGATATTCTGTATCCAGTCACTGACCCTTTTATTTTGATTACTGTATAATTTATTATACCAAATTTGATTTGGTTACTGTATAATTCAGGTGGATAGCTGGAGAAATTAGGACTTCTTGAACAAGGAAGGATAAAGCTTTCGAGAAATTATTAAGCTGATGTAACCACCAAAAGTGATTACTTTCAACCTTTTCTTTTAACAGTGGAATGTATCTCCCAACAAATTCTAGACGTCCACCTAAGTGACCAATCACACTTACAAAAATAAGGTGTAGAGATTCTTCCAAAATATTTTTTGATGCTGTGAATAAAACAGGAAATTGTCAGCATGGAAGGAAAAAACAGCAGAAAGTCAAGAGCAAATCAATATCTGGAATGGAACAATTACTAAGTCCTCCAAAATATTGCTTGCTGTGCCCTTGCTACTCCCCACCCCCTATATCATCAGCATCAGGAAAGAAATATGGAGCATGGGAAAACATGTCTATTTATGTTTTATCAATAAATAAATGGAGAACGGGTACCTATTTTGATGTTGCTGAAGCAGAAGTTGTTTTTGGGTCTGTGAATCTTTTTTCAGTGATTCAAGTTCTTCTTTGACCTAATGTAAACACATGACAATGCTAACCCCTAAAGATAACACAGTCTAAACGTAGTTTTCAAAGTATAATTTCCTTCATTTTGCTTCCACCTTGGAACTGTGAAAATACGTACAGTAAAGGTTAAATTCCAGCAATAAATGCAATCTCAACAGTATAAAAGAACAGTATAAAAGGCTGGTATACCAGCACCCACCATCTTAACTGCAGAGTAGCATTTGTACCTCTTTATGCCATAACCATTTCCTTAGGGCAGTTTAGATGGGAGCTCATGGAGTTTTCAAAAATATTTTCTAAAAAACAGAACACATTGTGTTGGAAGGAAAGGTAGCACATTCTTCACATACCAGGACAACCTTTTCTTTGAGGTATGACACCTCTGAGTCTAAATCTTGCAGGATGTCAGCAAAGGCTGTGCTCAGGTTCTGGATGTATAGGCTAGTAATATTCTCATGCTCATAGAGTTTCTTGCCTGTGCTGCCTTCGTAGTTCCTTAGGATGCCACGTAGTTCCAGAAGTACTTCCTCATGGCTGTGGACCATCTTTTTCAGATGCTCAGTTTGGCTGTCAGCCTCCCTCAGCATCTCCTCCAGCAGCTGGTTGGCAGCTTCCAGCTCTTGAATAGTCTTTTTTAGCTGTATTTTTACATTCTCCTGGCTCTGGGATTCCTTTTGTCTGAATTTGGAAGCCAAAAAAAAATAATTTAGAAACCAGGATTCACAACATGGATTTTTATCTTGACTAATAGGTATAATACTTATGTTGATTAACTGCTGTTTTTTACAAGTACCTATTTAAGCCATTTTCTAAACCAAGGTGCCAGCCACAGTCTAATTTGTCTTCATTCCTGAGGGTAAGTTTCTCACCTAGGAGATCTGGTGTGCCTATCAAAGCCAATACACACACTCTCCATAATACATGTCTCTTGGTCTTCATACCTAGTATCCTGAAGTGCATCTCTTTGCAACTGCACTTCCATCAGTTTGGTCTGCAAATCAGCAATGATCAGTCTTAAATTGATTTTCTGTTGCTCATGTAGCTCAGTGGTCTAAAGGAGAAAAAAAAATAACCAACCAAACTGCACCAACCAAAATACTCGAATACATAACCTAAAAAAATGAGGTTGAAAGCAGCATGGCTATAGTAATGAAGAGATTTTTAAAATTTTTAATTTTAAAATATTTCTTAGTTAACCAGTTAGTCACATTGCGCTGCAGTGGACTGACGATGCATGGAACACTGTTACAAGGATTGTGCCAACAACGTTACTGCTCATTGCCTATTTCTGTCTGTCAAATGGTATGTGGGAATCATGATGGCCAAGTATAATTTACAGCAGCCAAGACACTGCTCAAAATAGCACTGGCAAAACTGTTCAGAGACTCAGCGATGACAAAAACAACAAAAGCTCATCTGTACTTAAGGAGCTGACCCAAATTTGCAACTCACTTCATTCAGCCTCTTCTGCACATGTCTACCTTTCCATGAGTATTCTTCCAGAATGTTTTCCACGTGTTCTTCACCAGCATCATTTAGAGTTTTCTCCTCAGAATCAGTATGTATTTCATATTTGGAACAGAAGACACTATCATGTGGACTGCTACCAGTATTAAAAGAGGCCGAGTTTTCCATCACTGTGCTGAGAATGGGAGAAGCTAAAACATTCTGGTTGCTGAGAAATGGGCTAGCAGCACCTGAAAGGCAGATAAATTTAACTGTTGAAACAAGAGTTGTTATACGAGAATAAACCATCATCTGTACAAACTGGGCATTAGTGCCTCTCAGTGACTATCTGTCAATAGTCAAACATAGGAACAACAAACCCAGTCTATTCTAGGTTTGCACACTGGGTGGGGAATGCCACAGTGTTCAAAGGAGAATGCTTCAAAACTGCTCTGCCTTTACCTTGGGCTTGTGTCAACAAGAGCTGTTCAAGATACAGGGCCTAAAGAGGATTCAAAACACGAACTTATGAGCACCTTTCTAGATCACATAATAGTCTGCAGTGTTTATAGTGATTTACTCCAAAATCTTGTTCTGAAATCTGTTTAATACTTGCCCATGGAAGGCCTACTGCCACTTGGTAAAGATTCCTCATGACTCAAATAATGTATTGTTGATTCCACTGGGAATCTGGTGGTTTCTTCATGGAGTTTCAGAGCCTCTTTTGTTTGTCGTTCCAGAGCCTCCCTGCAGAACAGCACACAGAAACATATACTGAAAAGGCAGGACTGAATGCAGAAGAGTATCCAACTGCAGTGTGTCACAAAAGCAACCTGAAATGAGTAACTGAAAAGAGAAGTTAAACCAAATAATTTATTTGGTAACATTGTGATTTCCTGGTTTACACTTATATTTGGTGACACTGCCACATCTTCACCTGCTGCAACTTCAGTGTATTCAACTGAACTATTGCCACTAGCAGGGGTAATATATAAAAGTCCAAACAAGTAAAATAACACTTCATCAAATAAACAGATCTAAACTGTTTTATCTTCTGAAAAAAGGATTTCCTTTTATTTCTACATTTTTTTCTCTGAGCTGATCAATAAAATGCAACCTTACTGACACAAAACTGTTACTGTTTGGTCAGTCAAATCTACAGAAATCTGTGAAATACTTCACTGCAAGCATAATAAGAAACATCTCGGAGAACTTGTAGAATAAAAGAATTGTTTGGTTATATAAAACCTCAAGCACAGAAGAAAGGAAACCTGTGCTGATTCACACCATCTTATGTTACTGGAATTGATCAGGCAACAGATCTTTTGCTACATTCCTGGAGGAATGAGTGTCTGCAAAAAAAAAAAAAAAAAAGAGAGAAAAATTAATTTTTCTGACCAAAAGAGAAAGAAACCCAGTCTAAGTGAGAATAATAGGTAAGTTTTGGCAGTTCACCTACAAGCTGTAAATAGAAGAAAGCTAAGAGGAAACACAAAGAAAATATAGTTGAGGGCCAAAGAAGAATCTGCAATTATGGAAAAAATTTTAAGTGGCAAGCCTACAAGTGAGGAAGGAACATGAGATCAGCAAGGAGAGCAGCTCCTTGTTTCTTAGCGTTAGTAGTGTTGTGTTTACATAGCAGGACTGTGACATTCACAAATGACCCAATTACAACATGCACAGTTGATTTCTGCCCACACAGCACTTTTTTTCACAATGCAACAAGTCCCTGTGTCTGTGCACTGCACTTGCTATGCCACCTCTGCATTTGTATTAACACATCCTGATAAACCTGAATTTTCATTCTATAACATTACTGATAAAAAATATTAGAGGACACAGATGCAAGCAGAGGTGCAGAGCAGGTGGAAAAAAATCCTGAGGAGTCTGTTACCCTGAAGGTGGAAAGAAGGGGCATCAGCTACAGGCAAGGGCAGAAGTTCTATCAACACTGCCCTGTTACTGTGGAGTATAACCTAAACACATAAACAGGTTAAAAGAACGACTAGACAAATCCCCAGGACTAATAAATTTGATAGTTGCGACAGACATTCAGATTCAGTAGGTCTTTACATTCTAATTCCCTGGACACTGAGATACTGAGATATACTAAGCAAAACCTTATTTTTTTTCCTTTTTTCTATGCATCAACTACTACACACTGGTGCATTAAGCACAGTAGTGAGATGACACTTCGGTTTGATCCATCAGAGACTGAGTGAAACAGTATATCAAAGCTTTAGAAAGAAAAATACCACTACCATTGTTCTCAGCTGGCCATTAATTTTCAAACTCATTAATGATCCTTCTTTGGGAGAAACTTTCAAATATTAGATACACAACGGTATTTAAAAATCACTAAATCCAACCACCATCTTCAGGGGGAAAAAAAAATAAAAATCACCCAAACCAATAAAATAATTGAATTTCACTTGCCTAATGCTGAATGATTCTGAATCTAATAGTAGGAAAAATCCTGGACCCCTGCAAATTCATTATCAAAAGGTAGTACTATATCCTGCTATTTGTGCAGAAATCCCATTGCCGACAGGAAGAACTCATTCTACTGGTACATTCCTGGTACACAAATTACAATGATCTGTGTAATTCAGCCTTCACAGTAGAGTGCCTTGGGCACCATAACCTTAAATTTTGTGTTCACGTCTTTCCTGTCACTTTAGTATGACAGACTACACCATAGGAATCTGTTAGCTTCCATTTTCAGTGACTCTGCTGTTTACTGTAATGACAGAAAGCAGGTACAGGAATTTATATAATAAGAAACAAAACCTGTGTAGTACCTTAATGCCTGGATATTCTCGCTCATTGTAACAGCACCTGTGAAGAAAAACATGTGTCTTTATGTTCTAATATATTAAGAATCAATTTTATGTAATAAAAATGAATTTTGCACATCTGATTGCACATCTTTTACAGGAAGAATGAAAGGATCTTGATGGAGATAGTTTCTCTCCGTTTTAAAGTCTTATGCTTTGTTTTGTCAGGATGAACACTGATTTGCGTTTTTATAAGTGCCCGTTAGCATCACCTGTTAAGTTTTGCAACAACAGTTAAGCGGCAAACCATATACACTATCACTTGCTATGCTGTTTCCATATTTTCTCTACAAGAAACACTGAAGATGAGACTTCTATAAACAACTGCCTTGATCTCATCTACAAACGTTGCTTATTCCAATCTGCTTGATTAAAGCCAAACAGATTTTTTTCTCACAAAAGTGCTTTTGGAAGTATGCCCAAAAGAAAAACTAAAGTCTGGAGCGAGCCCAAGGTGGGCAACTCTAGACTTGTATGTTTTGAGTTTTGAAAGCATGATTGTTATTAATATATTGCCCTTGTGGGACAAGTCTGTGAACCTTTTCCTCAGGGGGAAGGGGAGAGGGGGAAAAAAAAAGGAAAAAATTAAGAAAAATTTATTACTTGGGGGTAGCTTGAGCCAGGTGGTATTTGATGGGGTTTTATTTGCATTATTTGGATTTTCCTGGGTGTCTGGTCCTCTGGGAGACACGGGACTACACCGTAAGTCAGAGTTAGCTGCAGTATCAGTTTCCATACCATGGATAATTTGACATCTTCAGCATACCCATTTGAGTCAAAAAGACCATCATGGGTGCTTCCTAAGGGCACATAATGGAGGAAAGTGGAGCCCTTTACCCCAACCCCCAATCCCACATACCAGAAGTGCTTCCTTTACATGAAAACATTGCCTCCAACCCTCACACAGCAGCCCCTCAAAGTTCAACTGCACCTTGACAACAGGACCATTTCTCCTAAACTGGGACAGACCCTACCACCGCCCCCTCTCCGCCTGTGTTTCCTCCGTGGAGGAGGGCGAGGGCGGCAGGGGCTGTAGCCGGCGGATCTCCCTGGTGGTGACAGCGGGGCAGGTCCAGCCCAGCGGGGACAAAATGTCCGCCACACGAGACCACCTGCCTTTCCATGGCGGGAAATGAGGAGGGCCCTGAGCGCCCCGACCATCCTCTCCCGCCTGTGTGGGTCCGTCCCAAAGTCCCTCTACCCTCTCTAAACCCTCCATACCTCTGCTCCAAGGGGTTTTTTACCTCATCATGGTGTGCACCCATTACTGGCGCCCCCGAGAGGCTGCTCCCTCACAGTGAGCTATCTCACCCCTTTCTCCAGCCTCCTCCTTGGGAAGGGGCCATGCTGCAGGCTGTGACCGGATCCTCTGGGAGCTGCCCACTTCATCTCAGCATGGCCTCAGGGAAGCTGTGACATGGAAGCCAGTGGCCACGAAACCCAGGCACCATCCCCACTCCCTTCCCACGACAGCGCTCAGCCCCTCAGCCCCAAAATGGCTTCTCATGTATGTCCTCCTTAGGCTGTAGGCACAGGAGTTAAGGTGCCCTCATGGTGGCTGGATTGTGATGGCAGGTGATTTAATTATGCCGTACTTAAGACTGGCAATAAAAACCCTCTCGTAGAGGTGTAGGGGAGGGCCTGGGTCATCTTCCTTGTGGCATTTGGCTAGCAAGGTAGCACATTTCAGAGGGTGACTGAGGGCAGAAATTGGGGTGAGGAGACTCCTTCCCACCAGAGAAAAGGTCAGAGGGCCAAAAAGCATCTTCCCAGAAATCCAGTTTGGAAATAAAAATTAAAATATTTTGAGTTTTACACCAAGCTCTTCAGAGATTAAACGTTTTCGAATTCCCAGAGGTGATTGCCTGACTGCTATTTTCAGTTCTCAGTGAGAGTGGGTGCAGAGTGAAGAGATAATCGCTACACCAAGGAAAATTACGTGGCTGACTGTCCCATTTTATCTTGCTTTCAGGAGTGACCATGCAGATGTCAACAGGCTGACACACCACATTACAAGTTTCCAGGAACAGGTGTGTGAACCGGGCCCAAACCAAAATCATCAGAGAGCTGAAGAATTTAAGTCGGAGCAAACTTCGGAGACAGACATGTACGTTTATATACTTGAATACCTGACTAAAAACACGTAACTATTCCTCAACGGAGAACACACCATTTTAATTTGCAAGAAAAGCAAGCCAATCACCTAGTGCTAAAAGACAAACCTAAAGACAAAGGAAGAAATGTGGTTTTACATGGACTACTTCAGACTGAGCTAAGAAATGTAAGAACTAGACAGCTGAAAACAGACCTCGTCTCCACTCACCTAGCTGCAACCACGCTCCAGAGTTATCAGTGCACCAGCAGCAAAAAAATGCAAGCAGAAGATGGAAAACAACTCGAGACAAGAAGGATTTTCTATTGCACAACCCAGAAAAAGAGGCAGCACTGAAAAGATACGTTTTTCTTCTATCCATGGAGAAAAGAAGCCAAGGAATTTATAGGTTAAGTACGCTATACAACATCCTGAAGCCAGACTTCAATGCTCAGTCTCAGGTGTTAACAAAGCATGAAAACTCATCCGGGAGGCGGCCCGCACCTACCTCTGACAGACACCGGTGAGGTTTGGTTCTCTTTTATTTTGGACGGTGCGCTGAGGTTTTCCTCCTTGCTGTGGGGCTTGGAAAAGAGGGGGGCACTGATCATCTCGCATTTGCTCCGGCTTTTGCCGTGTTGCGGGCTGTACATCCAGCTCCCAAACCCCTCCTGAGCCACTGGAGCCGTTGGGAGCCATTTGCCCCTTACCCTAGCCCCTTTGCCCGACTCGGTAGTCTTGGGAACAAACTCCTCCTCTGGAGCTGATCATGTGCAAGAGGGGGAACCAATAAACGCCTCATCCAGTGCTTGTTTTCTCTGCGAAGTGGCATTCAAAGTCCGGCTTCAGCGGGAAACTTGATAGCTTTTCCCCTTGATTGGGGCCCTGGCGGGGTGCTTTCTGCAGAGCATTACCTCTCCTGGCAGCAGGTGGTTTTTTTGTCTAGTGTTTCGTTAGAGACCGGCTCTTGAGCAACCCAGCCTCTTAGCTGCTTCCCCCTACTACTCCTGAAACAGCAATTATAACCTGGCGACAGAATAACTCTTTTAGGATGTAATTCCTGAATAACTTTTCTCCTATTTGTAGAGTGTCTCTGAGAAGAAAAAAAAAAATAATCTAAGAACCATCACGGGTTTGCCAGCAAGATGCAAATATAAACTTCTTGTGTTTAATCCATTACTCCCACAGAGAGGACTATGAGCTGTGTTAGGGTAGCTAGAGCTTCAGAGGAAGGTAATGGAGTAATTTATGCCAGCAGAGGCATTCTAAAATACCTGGCCCGCACCCACCAGTCATTTCAGATTTGGTTAAATGCATTAATAATGGGTTTAATTGTTAAATAATAATCTTATTTTTGGGGAGAAACACTCCTCCCACCAGCCCACCCTTCCCCCATCCCAGTTAATCTGTCTGAACCTCCTGTGCTTCTTCATATGTCACATATCAAACATAAATGTTTGCAGAATTTGGCCTGCTCTTTACAGGATGAGCTCAGACACAGGGCTGTGTTATCACAGCTTGCTGCGTTGTCCGGCTTAACAATAAGAGCACCTGGCTGTGGTGCCTCATGTGACTTCAGCTGTAATCCATCTTGCAAGAAACAAGTGCAAGAAATATCTTGGCACAGAAATCTCTGATCTCAGCAGATGGGTATATCTAAAAGCTGTCCAATCATGTACACAGCGCACTAAGATAGAGATAAATATTACACAGCTGTTCAATTAAATGAGGTGATAGCTGCCCTGGGCATTTTGTGCTTTTCTTTTTCTGAAGTGTCTGAATCTCAACAAGGAAACTCCTTTAGCATAATAACACTTGATAATTCCATGTAATCATGCAATCTTTTATTAATTTAGTGTTAGAATGAGGACTTATCTTTGATGTCCCTGCTTTTGTGCATCTTGATAATTTAGTCCATTCAGAGTGCAAAATGGCCTGTTTCTCTGAAATACATAGAAAATCAGAGACTAGTACTGCTGAAGTGGCCTCAGTGTTCTTACAGTTATAATGCTTGTATGACAACAACAGCCTACATGTTGTAAGGTTTTGACTGTGATGACTCTTTTTTGATTCCTGGTTCCTGATTCGAACTCTTGTTTCAGCAGGGTGATGCTCTGTGCATAGCATCAGATAAGTGAAAATTCAGATGTAGAGAGAAAATCCGCAGTTCTGAATTCAGATACCCTGAATTCACCTCCTTCAATTATGACAGCACTTGTGCTTTCCTTAGAGGGATGGGTCTATTCCTCACCTTGGCGTGTTGCTTTTCAGTTTGCTTTGAGTAACTGAGGGACTCAGACCTATTTTGTGCCAGAGGCAATATTATACGGAAAGGCTTTTTTATGTTCACCAAAGAAAATTATTTGTTTTCAGACTTCAAAGACCAGTGCCTTTTCCAACACAAAAAGGATTCATGGGGTTTGCAGCTTACTTACGTTTCTCAGCTTTGTTCTTTCCTTTCATTCTCAGATCTCTGAGTTTCCCTTTCTCTATCTGATTTTTCATATTTTACCTCAGGCCTGTCCAGAAAAGCAGGCTTATTCTGGGGCCTGGAAGGAAGATGATCTCAAATCCAACCTGGAATCTGAGCAGAGCTTCCCTGTGTAGCCCTAGGAATTTCTCTCTAAAAACAAATTTTGAGCATTGGTAGCTGATTGCAATCCCCTTGAGGCCATACATGTGTCCCTTCCTGTAATTTCTTCTTTCAAATGCAAGACTGACATTTTACTGAGTCAAGTGGATCGATATGTTACAGTCAGCTCAAGCTGTTTGTAGGTAAGTATAGAAAAGCTGTATTTCCTATTTACTTTTTTTTTTTTTAATACAATAAACCTTCAGGGAAATTGTAACCCCAAGAAGGAATAATTTACTGCTGGGCTGCTTCAGGAGGATTGTGTCTTTTGACACATATTTTGTTCCGTCCTACTGCAGATTGATGTGAATAGCTTCAGGACTTGGAGGGTGAAGGAAGAAGCTGTGGCCACTGGTGCTTGAAGGCTGACTATTATTAGTTAAAATTCCTGAAGCTCTTCAGTTTATACAGAGGCCTGTCTGGAAGAAAAAGAGAAGTTGTTCTGTGATAAAACCAATTAGCTAGGAAAAAGAAGCACCACTTTCATTTCTCAGCCTCTCATGCTTCATGTATGACCATGAGAAAGTCACCCATTCCCTCTCTATCTGTGAAAGGTACAAAGACCGACATTTCTATCCCCTTTTGTTCACCTTGACAGTTTAAAATATAAATTCTTTCAAACAGGGCTATTGCAAGCCTTGTCCTCTCTCAGAAGCAGTTTGCGCACAACTAGAAATATACAAGACTGAAAAAGCAGGAGCAAATGTGAGATGATCAGTGTTCTCATCCTGAACTTTTTGTCGACCTAATTGTAATGACAGTTTTCTGACAAACAAAACATACTGGGTAATCAGTTACACTCTGCTCTTCTGATGTCCAACTCTGAGCCATTTTGGTATCTTACTCCTCAGAAGTCCTTCAGTACAGAGGAGGGCTGCTTTATTTTTTAAAGCTGCTCTTTAGAGGTAAGTTGTGAATCTGCTTCCTCTGAACTTATAGGATATAACCAAACAGCAGGTAGATTTAAACTAAGCATAGTATTTAATTCCCCAGCTAAAAACCCAGTAACAGATGTGTACAAAACTTAGGAGCTGAATTTCCTTTCTTTGATTTCTAGGTTTACCTTTAATCTGACCTGATCACTTGCCACCTCAAGGACTCAGGTAAGATCAATAAACACCACTGAATATTTGGTAAAGATTCTGCTTCCTTTCTGAAAAGGAAAAGCATAGCAAATGCCTATTAACTGAATTGTGAAATGTTTGCATTTAAATCAAGTAAACAGATTGTGACAACCGATACGGCCAGCAGGTGGGGGCAGTATTGCTCTGATGAAATTCATTTGCAAAAGAAACTTGGAATATTTAAAGCAATTTAGGAAAAGTCAGAGCAGCCGCCAGCAAGGAGGCAGTGCCTTTACTGATGATGAACATAGGGCTTGATTGTGGACTCTGAAAAACTAAATCAATGGTAATTTTTCCTGCTTTAGCGGTGTAGTACTTGACATTTGAGGGAAAAGGTTCTGACATGACTAAATTTTTTTTCTCTTACACTGAAACTGTGCAAAATTTTAACTCAAATATATTATTCTGTGTGGACAGCACTTTTCTGAACTCAGGTCTCTTCTGTTGCACCCCAGCAGAAAATATCTCAGCTCTGTCCCGAGAGGAACTCCTCATAGAATATCCTCATAAAAATTCCTTTCTTGCAGCAAACAGTGCTAAGATACTTGTGCTATTTGAGGTTCTTGACAGAGGCAAGATGAGAAAAAAAGGTTTGAGTTTAATATTTAGAAGTGTTATATATAGGTGAATGGTGAATGTTGCTTTAATTGTATTCTGCACCAAAATCTATTTCTAAGAAGAATTAGTTTTCAGCTAAAGCACAGCAATGCTCAACTCCATGTAGTCAATCCCACTTTATTCATCAATAGTTGCTGTATGTTATTAAGTTATTTTGCACTGTTTTTGTTTGCATTGCGTCTGGCAGGAAGTTAAATCCCATGTGTGTGTGCTGGAGTTGCTGCTATCTCTAGTGTTCCAAAAATCCCTTGGTTTCTTTGGGCATCGACAAGAGGTTAGCACTGTGAGGATGGCCCAGACAGTTTTCTTGAGATATGTGTGAGTAACAGATATGTGAACTGGGTTGTACAAGAACCTGACAGATTTCTAGCTCCTGTGTGGAATAATGAGCCTGCCGAGAAAGCAGCAAGAGTATCTGGCAGCCCTTTTTGGGTGAGAGATTAAACCTTTTTCCTTAGCTGGTCATGAGTCTGATATATGCAAGCACCTGTATGGGACCGTTTTAGAGCTGGATTAACTGTATAAAGGACTAACAAATCTGGAGGTAGTAGGGGGAGAAAATTATGTACTTGCAATGGTAACAAATTTGATGGACTTAGTGGCAAAAATGATGTTGGATTCAGCACCTGAAATGAGTTGCAGTGCTGGAGTCGAAGAAAAACTGTACCTCAAAAATTATGTGGAAAATCATCACCCACTATAGGCACCGTGAGATATAGAGCTTATTGGAATTCTGGTGTCTGCAGACGTTAGGTGTAGTAACCAACGTTTTGAGTTGGAAATCGATACAGTCCAAAGAAGTACCTTGGCTTGTTAACAGGCTGGCATGCTCTTACACAGTCTTAAGTAGTCCTGATGGCTATGGATAGGAGGATGTATGACCCCAAGAGACAGCTCCTGGAGCCTTAGCCTGTCTCTAGAAGGGCTGCGAAGGGACAGAAATGAATTGCTCATTGTGGTGACTTGGAATGAGGTTTTTTACACTGAAACACTAGGAGTGTAAAACTACAGAAATCTGATTTGTGTCAGGCTAAAGGGTGAGTTCTAGATAAAAGCAAACTCTGAGCCTGACCAGGATGTGAAGCTAATGAAAACTCAGCCCCTGGGAGGGAAACAGAGGGAACAAAGCTCAATATAAGCAAGGATTGAGGATCATCTACCATGAATAATAAAGGGAGGGGCGTCTTCTGCATTCCTCTTCATGGCTATTGGAAGTGAGAGCTGGGACACATGGGGCAAATAGTAGACTCTTGGGGAAACTGTAACCTCCTAAAAGGGATGGGAATAAGGTGGCATGAAAGGCAAGAACAAATGTAAAGATTTCTGGTTTTAGA